TTATGGTAACCCTTTTCAGGGCTTCCTATGTAGAAACTACTTAGAAATGGTTTACCATCCCCTTCTTCTGGGGGTGAACTGGGACTCTTCAGCTTACCCAAAGCCACACAGGCTGCCTCTTCTTGGATGCACTGTGGGGAAGAGAACTCCCAACCTAACACAACGAGCTATCAAGCTATGATTCATTTGAATATGTCTTCAGATTACTTCACAGATACATGTGATATAAACTCAAATGTTACCTGAAGTACTTTGTGTATCTAGAAATTATTTTTTTAAAGTAAACTCTTCAATATATGAGATTCTATTATAAGGAGATTTCTCTTTGATAATTCCTCCATCTTTTGCCTATAAAAATCTAATGTTATTATAACAGGGGCACAGAGGGTTTTCTTTTAAAAATTTCCTTATGGTCTTCGTCTTATCTCCACAGTATTCCTTAATCTGGAACCCTAAGAGACACGTGATATTTTTACCTATATGGTGTATAAAGATTAGGAAAACCTCTATCAACTTTTTTGTTAATTCCTTTTCCATGAGTAAATATTTTAAATCTTGCTGGGAAAAGAAAGCAAGCAGAAAATATTTTCCAATAATGAAAATAATAACTCTCCTGAGGGAATAGGGAAGGCAAAGGGGTTTTGTTTGATTTATTGGTGAAAAAACTCTTTAGAACTCAGTTTTGTGCACGCATGCGCACGTGCGCACATAGACACAGAGTGGAGAAGGGAATTGTAGCTGTAGGCAAAGATATATACAACACGCCTAGCCTCCTGTTATGACAGTTTATGTTTCCTATCCAGCTTATTTAGCTCAAATGTCTGGGAAATAGACACAATTACCACCTTGTGGAACGCTACTTAACTTTAAATGCTCCCTTCTGAATAGCAACCCATGTTGTCCTCAAAGTTTATTCCCACTTTCTCAGCAAATGCTCCCTCTTTGGAAATGTTCTTGATCATCATTTAAAAATGTAAAGTAATGATTGTACCCCCTCACAGTAAAAAAAAAAAATCCCCATACAAAGAGCCATTCGCCAGAACTTGTTTAAAAAAAATAACAAGAGGAGGAAAATAGAGCTGCATTCTATGCCCTTGTACAGCTTTAATCATTCACTTTTCAGCTGTTATCAATTTAAAACCAATGAAACTCCCACACTGAGTCCATTTGAGCAGTCAATTTTAATATCTTGAGGCATCTGTAGTTATTCTGAATTGGCTGCAAAAGCAGAACTAACAACTTAAGCTCTAACCATAAGTCTACATCAGGCTGGTAACCCATATATCAAACACTGACAGTTAGTCAATACTATAGTATGAAAAAAAAACCAACAACCATTTTTAAGAAGAGCAGTATATTCACAATGTTTTCAGCAGCATGGTTCACATTATGGGCTGCTGATATATGCACATAAAACCCATCCATTAGAGGTAGTAGTGGACATGACAGCTTTGTATGTGGATATAAAAGGAGACATGAGGAAAAGATGGGAGAGTCAGTCTGAAGTTCTGAGGCATATAATATGATGATTATAGCAGCAATGAATTGCCCATCCTGCTTTAAAGAACCCCACAGAGTTTATAGCCATGACACTGCTGTAAGATAGGCAGGGAAACTTCACAGTAACACTATAGTGGAGAAAAGCTACAACTTTGAGTGATAAAAATAAAGACAAATATTTATTTATTAACTGTATTTATGATGCTCCCTGTAACAGATGTTCAGTGGTTTATCACAAAACAGACACACTGTGTTAGTCTGTTGAGGGGGGTGGGGGAGAACAAAAAAAAAAAACAGAGAGTCCTGCAGTACTTTTAAGTCTAACAGGTTTTATATTTTCACAGGCTGAACCACACTCATTTCAGAAACACAGAGTGCAGCCTAAGTACATGGGCATTTATACAATGGTGGGAAGGAAGGAAGCGTGAACAAAATGACAGAACAAGGTGGAACACAACTAAGAATCTAGAAATCAAAGAAGCATCTGTCATTCTGCGCATGTATAGACATATAAAATTCCTCAGTCATTAATCATATAATTAATAAAGAAAAGCAATGCACACTTTAAAAAACTATATGGATGGAGAATATAAATATTTCAGCATCAACCAGGGAAAATACTACATGGTTTTCCATACATGTTCTTAAGTACTACAAAGTTG